GCACCAATCCAGGAATACACATGTGCACCAATCCAGAAACACACATGAGCACCAATCCAGAAACATGCATGTGCATCAATCCAGAAACACGCATGTGCACCAACCCAGAAACACACATGCATCAATCCAGAAACGCACATGTACATCAATCCAGAAACACGCATGTGCACCTATCCAGAAATACACATGTACATCAATCTAGAAACACACATGTACATCAATCCAGAAACACACATGCACACCAATCCAGAAACACACATGTGCACCAATCCAGAAACACACATGTGCTCCAATCCAGAAACTCACATGCACCAATCCAGAACATGCATGTACACCAATCCAGAAACATGCATGTGCACCAATCCAGAAATACACATGCACCAATCCAGAACACACATGTGCACCAATCTGGAAACACACTTGTGCTCCAACCCAGAAACACACATGAACCAATCCAGAAACACATATGTGCACCAATGCAGAAACATGTATGTGCACCAATGCAGAAACATATATGTACACCAATCCCAAACATGCATGTGCACCAATCCACAAACATATATGTGCACCAATCCAGAACATGCAGATGCATCAATCCAAAATCACACAAGTGCATCAACCTGGAAGCACAGATATACACTAATCTGGAAACACACAGGTGCACCAATCCAGAAATACACCTGCACCAATCCAGAAATACACCTGCACCAATCCAGAAATACACCTGCCCCAATCCAGTAACAGACATGTGCACCAATCTGGAAATGCACGCGTGTGTCAATTTAGAAACATACATGTGTACCAGGAGCACACACGTGCACCAATTTGAAAACACAAATGTGCATCAATCCAGCAACACAACATCATCACATAGATTTCTAATGATGTTAGGCGCAGGAACTTTGCATCTGCAAAAACGAAGTGAACAACTAAAACAAAGTTCAGCAGGGGGATGTGATGGAGTGAGGAGAGCGAGAAGGTGGGTATGGAGTGAGGGGAGAGTGAGGGATTCCACTGATGATTTATGAAGATTTGGTATCACACCTTGCTTTTTTTGTCAATGCCATTTATGAAAGCCAGTGATTCCATTACCAACTTTATCAACTTGGCATGAGTTGAAATCCCTCATTGGCAGCTGCTAAATTTGAATTCAGTTCATAGATCTGCAATTCAGAGCTATGCTGAGTGATAATGACCACGCTCTGGCCTGCATTTAACTCCAAACTCACAGCAAGGAGTTGATAATGATCTGGCTAGGAGGGTGAAGAGCTGGTAATATTGTTAGCAGTTAGTGGTTTCACCAGACTCAAAGGACCCTTAGGGCCCTCAACTGAGTCTGACCCATCTCCCACACTTCCGCCCTCACCCCTTCTCTTCCCTCCCGCAACAGCGATAGTGTTCCCCTTATCCTCACCTACCATCCCACCAGCATCCACATCCAGAAGATCATCAGACGCCATTTCCGCCACCTCCAGCGAGATGCCACCACCAGGCATATATTCCTCTCCCCTCCCTTGTCCGCCTTCCGCAGGGACCATTCCCTCCGGGACACCCTGGTCCACACTTCCTTCACATCCAACACCTCCCCAAAGCCCTACAGCACTTTTCCCTGCAACCGGCGAAGGTGCAACACTTGCCCATTTACCTCCTCCCTCCCCAGTATCCAAAGGCCCAAACATACCTTCCAGGTGAAGCAACACTTCACCTGTACTTCCCAGAATCTCGTCTACTGCATTCGCTGCTCACAATGTGGTCTCCCCTACATTGGGGAAATGAAGTGTAAACTGGGTGACCGCTTTGCAGAACATTTACTTTCTGCTCGCAAAAAAGACCCTGAACTACCTGTTGCCTGCCACTTTAACACACCACCCTGCTCCCTGGCCAACATCTCTGTCTCTGGCTTGCTGCAGTGTTCCAGCAAAGCTCAATGCAAGCTGAAAGAACAACAGAAATAGTAAGAACGGCCGATTCAGGAGTCAGAGATAACACTGTGTGGAGCAGGAGGAACATAGCAGGCCAGGCAGCATCAGAGGAACAGGAAAGCTGACGTTTCAGCTCAGGACCCTTCTTCAGAAATGGCTGAATTTCTGAAGAAGGGTCCCAATCCGAAACGTCAGCTTTCCTGTTCCTCTGAAGCCGCCTGGCCTGCTGTGTTCCTCCAGCTCCACACAGTGTTATCTCTGGAAGAACAAAACGTTATTTTCCACTTGGGGACCCTACAGCCCTCCAGACTCAATATAAAGTGCAATAATTTTAGGGTCCAAACTCTCCCATGTCCCAGCCCCCGACCCAACAAACCAGGCCTTGTCACATAGCCTGCCATTACAGACTACCTGTTGTTAGTTACTAATAGTCCCCATTAACAACTATTCACCCTCCCAGCCTAATCATTATCAACTCCTTTGTCTGTCCAACTGTCTTTCTCTCTCTTAAGGCTCTATCCTATCATTTACTCTCTACCCAATGCACCTCCCTATTTTCTGCATATAAACTGACATTTTCCCAGCCACCATCAATTCTGAGGAAGGGTCACGGGACCCGAAACGCTAATTCTGTTTATTCCTTCACAGATGCTGGCAGACCTGCTGAGCTTTTCTGGCAACTTTCTTTTATTTGTCGTTGTAAAAGTTGCCATCCTTTTTACATCCATAATGCAGAAAATTCCTCATTATCGAATACTTGCCCACTTCTAATATGAAATTTCTCTACTAGTTTGGGTAGACAGCTTCGGACTTGACAACCTCCCAATTTTGCACATTCTCCCTGTGTCTGTGTAGTTTCGTTCGGGTGCTCGGGATTCGTCCAACAGTCCAAAGCTGTGCAGGTTAGGGTGGATGGGCCATGAGAGGAGCAGATGAGGTGAGGGCTCTGTGATGGGCAGTCAGTGTCACTGAGGGGAGAGGTTGGGGACCCTGTGACAGTGTCAGTGAGGGGAGGGGGTGGGGACCCTGTGACAGTGTCACTGAGGGAAGGGGGTGGGGACCCTGTGACAGTGTCACTGAGAGGAGGGGGTGGGGACCCTGTGACAGTGTCAGTGACGGGAGCGGGTGGGGACCCTGTGACAGTGTCACTGAGGGGAG